AACTTTTAGTATAATTCTATTCCTGTTGCATTTTAATCACCCTCTGCTTTCCCCTTGGAAATAACAGTAAAAAACAAAAAGATGTTTTACAACTAGAGAGCACGATTCTGCCTGTAGATTTACTGAGGCTTTCAACAGGGACAGGATGAATAAACAGCACTTAAGCACAAATGGAATAACTCAGTGGAGTCATCCATTTTTTATTATTATATTATTGTTATAACCTTGAACTGATGTAAAATATCTACATACTTACTTTACATTTTACACTATGTTGAACTTTTACAGATTGCTTGAAACATTAAAAGAATACAGCTGTTCCAGTACACAGTTTTTCTCTGCTAGATGGGAGCCTTTAGCCTGGATCCACAGAATCAGAGGATTATACAGATTGGCTGAGGTTGAAAGGCACCTCTGGAGGTCTTTGTGTCCAATCCCTTGTTCAAGCAGGGTCACCTAGAGCTGATTGCCCAGGACTGTGTCCAGACAACTTGTGAATATCTCCAAGGACAGAGACCATGACATCCCTGGGAAACCTGTGCCAGTGCTTGGTCACCCCCAGAGTAAAGAAGTGCCTCCTTAATTCATAATTAACAAAATTATTTTTGCTTAGACAAGCAAAATTTTATTCTTTCTTTTTTTTTATCCCTATCATTCCTTGAATAATTTCACATTTCTGGGTCATTTTTACTAAAGCTTGACTGAGCAGAAAGGTTTCACTCATATTAAATCCCTCCAAGTTTGTGGAAAAAAAATTGATCATTTTTAACAAGGGACAGAGTGGACACAAAAACAAAGAAAACAAACATTAGGAAACATGCAGAGTATGAACTTTTAAGACACAGATTTAAACAGACTTTGATGGACTGACTGTTGAAGAAACCATTAGTAACATACACAGATTGGCTAATGGTGATTTAAACAAATCAATGTTATATTAGACGATAGCTAAACAAAAAAAAGTTTAAGATGAGAAACTGCAAACATGCACCAACTACTAGTAAAAGAACTTCACTCATTTAGCAAACAGCCATTGTTACAACTTTAAGCCCAAAGCCACCCCAGGTACAAGACATAAAATTTGATGCCTTTACATTGCTGAAGTTTGATCTCAAAAAACAGTTCTCAACCATAAATATCAAACCACTCTAAGAATAACTCTTCACATGTATCTGGTATAGGATCATTAAATGACCTTTAAATATACTTTAGTACAACAGTAAATCAGAAGAAACCATCCTAGTTTTGTTTATGGGGACTGATGTGAGACATTTAACAGTCATTTATGTTTACAGCAACCAAAGCTTAAGGTATACTACAGAAACAATATTCAAAGGAATAAAAGTAGTATACCCAGAATACTTTGCACACAACTTATAGCATAATATTTATTTTCTTCTTCCATCAAATCTCTAAATTGCAAGTGAGTGTGCTTCACTTGCCCCAGAAAGAGGGAAAATCCAAGTACAGCAATTGCATCAAACATTTCCACAGTAGAGGCATGTCCTTAATATGAGATTTTTGAAGACTTGTTTCACTTTGGCAAGGGGAAAAAAAAGTAAAAATCGAAAATTTTTCATATTTTTTTTACTCATAGAATACTTTTAATCTCTAACCCTCCAAGAAGAGTACAAAAAGAAAGGAATAGAAATCATAACCCCAATCCATAAATACACTATTCACAGAGGAAGGAAGCAAAACATTTGTTCTCGGTTTTTTTATATTTATCAATATATGCTTCATGTCAGCAAGTAAATGTACTTACCTTTAGCTAAATCCTCCTCTTCCTTTTTGTTGGCTACTGTACCAGGATCTTTGGCAACTAGAGCAGGACTTGCTTTTGCCTGTTCAGCAGCCTAGCCAAAAGTGAAAGATGTAAAAATGAATCCAACAAAAAACTGACAATGCATTAAGTTCACCACTTCAATTTGTATTCATCTGCAATATAAAAATCTAAGGTAAGTGAGAGCATTTCAATCCTCAAGGAAAAGTTTTATTAAGACAAGAGAGTTTTCATTTTTTTGCCAAGCACATTCTAGAATCCAAGACCACAAACTGTAAAATACAGAGCTGAGCATAAAAAGAATTTGTGATACCCTTTGAGAACAATCACAAAAATCTAATGTACCTGTGAACCAATAGCTGGGAAAGTAACTCCTTGCTCCTTAAGATTTTTTATCATAGCAGATATTAAACTAAGTTGTGGGTCATTCTTGAATTCATCAGTCCATTCCACCATAAGGGCTTTCAGCTTTTCACAAACTTTTGGATGACCCTGCATGGACAGTAGAAACTAGTTAAATAATGTAGAAACTGGTTCTTAATTTCAAGTACTTCCATCTTAGTTCAATATACACCATATAGACACTTTCTTTCACAGTCAAGTTTAGCACTCAAAGATATCTTTATTAGAAAGGGAGAATAGTACACCAGCATCATATTTGTATTAGTACAATATGTGCTAGGCCCAAAATAAAGTAAAGTAAGGTTACATTGAAGCCCTGTATTATCTCCATTTCACATTTGTATTTAATGTTTCACTGCTGTCATTTAATGTGAAAATGAATTAGTTTATTTATTAATTAACACACCACACCTCCCCCAAACAGAATACCTAGGTAACTACTGTGAAGTGGCATTCAGGAAGTTCTTTCTGATAGCCACAGTCTTCTCAGTAATCCATGCTTATCCCCCTCCCCCACCTCCTTTCCAGTCTTCCAAAAGTAGATCCCATTCCACTTTCAGATTAACCCAACTCTGATTTCACTTAGAGATGAAATGTATAAATCAATGTAATACATTACCTTATTCAACACATTGCTTACTTCACTGGCAAAATCTCTTGAACAGACTTCTAAATGAAAGATTTTGCCACAGTTTGATACACATGCTCCTAGAAGCTAACAAAAGAAAGATTAAAACTCAGATTTGTGCAATATAACTTTCCAGGAAGAAAAATCACTACATCAAAAAGAACCTACCGTCAACGCTTGCATAGCAACATGAGGATCTTTATGGTTCACCCTCTTCATAATAGAGCGAAGACAGTCTTTAGGTCTAAAAAACATAAGACATTTAAAAAAATGTAAAGGAATGAACATTTCCTATTGCACACATGACAATGCTGATGACTTTAGCAGACAGCAAGATCTCCTGAACATTGTCAGTTTAGTAGCTTGTAAGTGTAACACAAAAAAAATAAACTAACACCATTAACAGTTGCAGCCATTTCTATCTGTAGGATTTGTAGCTTTCTTAGTGATCAAAACCTCTAAGTAATTTATGTTACCTTTTGTACTTAGAGAGAATTACTGTAAATACTCCAGAAATGCATAAAATCCCTTACAATTAGATAACTGAAATTCTCTGCAGTCCCTGCACCTTCTCCTTTATATTTCATACACAGATGTAAGAATATTTCCTTACATACTGATTTACCAACACCCTTTTGCTACTTTCATTTTGAATTACCACCACCATGTTCCTCAGTCTCTTTTAATCTAAAGAATAACATTAATAAAGACATGCAATGAACCAACAAGTTCTAAAAAAACCTGTCAGACATTCTACAAAGTTTCTAAACAATTAAATACAGAATTCAAGTCTTACCTATATTGTGGTAGACAGAAATAACATAGAAAGCAACTTCAAGAAAGAATTTGAAAGGGAGTTTCAGACAGTTTAGTGTATTAAAATCTGTGTGACTTTCTGTTATTTTATTCTGGTTTTAAAGGTAGCAAGGCTGGGTTAGGAATTATCATGGGCATACAAGCATTATTTGGTGAATAGCCCTGAAAAGATAAACCTGAAGGAGGGTAAGTAGGGAAAGAGGAAAAAAGAAGGAAAATCTAAACTAAGCGGTTTTACACACCAAGGGTCTTTTTCGAAGCAGAAGTATTTTCCTATTGAACTGGTATCCAAGAACTAACATGAAACTTAGGTATAAGTTACACCACTGCTTGGCTATACTATATTTGGCAGTGTCTACATTTTACAGAAATGTCCACCTCATATTTAGTGGTACTAATTATAGAAAATGCTGTCACGCAGCATGAGTACATATCATTCAGTGTATACCTTCATATAACCAATTATTACGAAGGAAGGCTCTAGGGCAAGTACTACCTTTTATCTATTAATTATGTAAGATTTCTCATATGTTTGCTTTAACTGAGAAAGAATACATGCTAAAATTTTCAGAAATAACTGCTTTTGTAACCATTAATTTATGAGTAGGATTGATGTGATGAGTACAAGCTCAAAAAAGTGTGTCTCCATTGTAAAGCCAGTATTTATAAAGGTAGGGTGCAGGATCAAGAGCTTAGCAGTTCAGGAGCAGGACCATCAGCCTAAGATTTCTTCACTAAGGAATCCAAAGTCTTATTAAAAGGAATAAAGTAACAAAGCCTCAAAGCCAAATGATTATCCACATGTGTTAAATATAATCTACTTGCTCATATATTTAACAGAAATGATCAATACTTGAGTGGTTAATGTTTTAACATGCTCAAATGTTTAAAATAAGAAGACTTTTGATTACACCTACATAAAAAAAATAATCCAAGCTTACCAATGTTTAGTCAGAGTAAGAAAACCTATTCTAGACAGAACTGTAATCCCTATTTTTACTTCTAATTAACTCATCATACAATTTAGTGTGTAAATTATGAGAAGCACTATGGAGAAAGCAGAGGAAAGCATGCACTCTATGAGTATAGAATTCAATCTACTTATTAGCACCTATCCAGACCATACTATACAAACATTGGGCCACAGTTCTGCTCTAACAATCCTATAATCAAAATTTCAGAGGCACCACAGTGAGCAGGAATAACAAATCAGTAGGGTAAAAATATGGCAAGATACAATACAAGCTACGTATCATATATGATATCACATACTAATATATCCAGAAAATATTCTCAATAAATTTCAGGTTTAGTTTTAGAAAGTTTAAAAAAAAAAATCAAGTTGGTATTTTATTTAACAAAGACAAGATTAGCAGCAATTGCAATCTAAAATACTACTCTGCAAAAAACATTTCATGTATTTTCAGGAATTTATTGTTCATTTACAGTCTAAGTTAACTGACTGTGGTGCTCAGCACTACACAGGTGACTCAGTTTTCCTCCTTGCTCCTTCAGAAACAAGCTAGTTAAAAAGCTTCCTGGTCAGCCTGTGAAAGATGCACTGCAATGACTACATAAAATGCTACTGAGATTATGTAATTTGAGGGGGGGAAAAAAATAGAAGGTACCTTGGAAAACTATCAAGTAAGCAATTTTGCTGTTCTCTCTTGCATGAACAGGCACAAAAACAACCAAAGAAGAAACAGCTAACCAGAATACTGGCTCACTGAGGCAGTGATTAATCCTTAAGGAATCAGGACAAAGTTAGGCAAGCAGCAATACAAACCATTTCTCAATGACAATTTTCCAATACCTACCCTCAAAAGAGAGTGCTGCAATGAACATTTCTATTTTAACCACTGATGTATTCCCACTGATTTAATTTTTTTCAGTCATCTTTTTTTTTTTTTTATTAAGTAACTTTTCTGGAGAAAAACTCAAGTTGTGATAGTTTCAAACATGTAGACTGATATGTCTCATGAAATAAATATAAATGGTACAACAATCTCAAAGTCAAATGCAAACACAATTAGAGTTAGGAATTGGCTAGCACTGAACTGATTAAGGAAGGGGGGACACCTTATGCTAAAATATACTATATGTGGCCTTTAATTTTTCCTTTTATTCTGTTTAATGAATCATTCAAATTTTACTATGTTATTTTACTCTGAGCTGATAAACTATAGATTCAGTTGTGTAAGCATTTTCATTGCAGAAAAGTAACATTATGCAAAAATCTATACCTTTCCTGTAGTCAGATTTAAAATGTCACTCAAATATAGAATCATAGAATATCCTGAGTTGGAAGGGACCCACAAAGATAATCAGAGTCCAGCTCCTGTCCCTGCACAGGACAGGCCCAAGAATCACACCATGTGATTAAATTTTTTAAAATAAGCAAGTTTTCAATAATGCTGTACAAAAACAAGGGGGGAAAAGATTGCCTTTAATGGTAAAAGCTTTGTTTTAATCATGTTTCCATGTTGAAAGAGCAACTTGCTCACTGAGCTAATAATGCCAAAAAAGCAGGATGTAAACGATGTGATATGCAACTGCTGAGCTGTATGAGTTCCTAAAACAATTCAGAGATTAAAAAACTGTGTTGATTTTCTCATGGTCAGATAAATTTTAGATCATCTTAACTGATATGTGAAACATGCAGAAAGTATCAAGTTAATTCTACACTACATATGGCAATATTCTATATACACTATTGTAAACAAATCTTATTATTAAAAATATTAATCCATTTTCTGTCTTTCCTGTGTTTTCTAGGAAAATTCTGATATCAACTTTAACTCATTTCGAAATTCACCAAAAATAGAGAAAATAGTCAAAGAGAGGGATTCAGTGGAATTCTAACTTCCCAAAAACCTATCTTGGTTGGATAAAGGAAACAAGTTAACATTTTCAGCTATTTGCAATGCTGCATAAGAAAAGTATTACAACATAAAAATTAATAGTAGCATTTCTGTTACTGAACTGCAACTAGTTTACCTTAAGAGAAAATATAGCACCTTTGCAGAGTAACGGGTTTGCAACAATTCATCTGGATACAAACAAGCCTGCAGACCTAAATGAGACAATGTGCCATACAGCACTGGGGGACGTGCTACTTAATGAACAACAGTCCTTGTAGTCTACTGTGGCTTCATGTGTAAGACAATCCACATCTAGAAGGCTGCAGGCATGCAATGGAGCTTACGGACTGGTACAAGGAAAACCCATAAAGTAGATTTTGTAATCTAAACTTCTGCCAAAAAACAGTAACAGATAGCTTGTACCGGAGCAGAACTGGTTAAAAGATTAAAGCCAATCCCAGTTAAGAAGACTAGCATCCTTGTCAGAAGAACTTAAACTGCAGGAGAATTTCAAACAGCTAAGCACAAGTCATTCAAACTTCTTAATAGGGAACAGTGTCTTGCTTTACCTTGCTATGGCATGACATAATCCATCAAAACAAAGAAAACCAACTATCAGCAAGTTTTAACAGAATCTGAATTTAAGCAACAAGTCAGCTGACAGCCTATTTTAAGCAGGGTAAATATTACAAAGGTTAAGTCCCACTTTTATTTTAAAAACAGTTTTATTAAAAAAAAAAAAAATCAAACCAGAAAAACACAAAGGAAAAGATCAAACCCAACACAAATGAACCCCACAAACTGTAACAGGGATTGAGCTGCAGGGATTTACCATAAGATCTCCAGCTTTGTCTATACCGCTGTCTCTTGCAGCTACTCACATTTGAGCACTGTTCAGGCTGTGTTGCTGTGAGACTAAATCTTGCCTGTGGAAACGCTTTCCATGATTAAATAGAATACTGAAGCCTTCAATAGTATAGTTACTGTTACAGGCTCAGCATCAACATGCACAAGGAAGAGAAATGCAGTTTTACATATACAAACATGAAACATCATTAACAACTTGCCAGCTCTTATCTTAACTACAGTTATACACAACAGCACAGAAGTCTCAATATGCCATGCTATTTGTAAGACCATCTCTAATTCCAAGGAATAAGCTTATTTGCAAACCTGTTCTTTGGAACAAAAGTCTCAGGTGTGAATTTGCTGTCTGGCATCTCATACTGTTTCTCACAGTTTTACACAGCAATCCAGGTTCTTCTCAGAGAAGCCTTTCACTAAACAGCAGCAATGGCAAGACATTTTTTTTCAGTCTGTTCCTTACCTGAATTGTTACAGGCAATGCTTCGAGAAGGTGTATTTAAAACTTTTCCAAAGACTAATACTACAGTGACTACAAACACTATAGATACACCAAAATCATGTCTTTAAACTGTATTTTTTAGTTGCTAGCTCAAATTATACTTTAACTTTCCTTGTCCAAAAAGCAAGTTCATGTATAAATTTTATGAAACAGCTCAGTAAAGAATGAATAATGGAAACATTAGTGGCCCATATTAAGATGTGTTTAATTTAATATCGCATTTTCAAAATGTAAATTTATCAAAGCCCTAATGTCAGAGAATTGCTTCGGAAAATAAGGGGAAGAAACACAAAATCTCATTTTTTCCTGTGACAAAGACACTGGTGGTCTGGTGGTGAGGACAATGGAAGGGCAGCAGATGTTTTATACCCTGGTTTTAGCAAAGTTTCGACATAGAGTTGAAGGCCTTATAGTCTCCTTATCACGCACTGGTGAAATATAGGGTGTATAAAATGATGATTATAAAGTGAGTGGAAAACTGGCCTCCTAAGCTCAAAGAGTTGTCACCTGTGGTGCAAATTCCAGGTAGCAGGCAGTACCTAGTGGGATCCTTCAGGGATTTCTGCTGGGACCAACACTGCTCTCAGCAGCTTACTGACCACAGCAAAAGGAAGGGGAACATTCAATATACTGGAGGGCAGGGCAGAGGGACCTCGAGAGGCTGGAGAAATGGACAGACTGGAACTTCGTGAAGTTGAACAAGAACAAGAGTAAGATGTTGCATTTTGGGTGGTCTGCTCCAGCAAAGGTAAGGAGCTGACCACCTGAAAAGTAGGAAAGGATCTGCAGGTCGTATTGGGTGACAGGAGTCAGCAAGTGTAGCCTAGCAGCAGAAAAACCAACCACATCCTGGGTCAAACTAGCGGTCAGCACAGCCAACAGGGCCAGGAAAAGTGATCTTTCTTCTCCATTCTGCATCTGGAGCACTTTGTCTAGTTTGGGACTCCCCAGTGCAGGAAGGCTATTGATGCATGACCATGAGTCCAATGGATGGCTGGCAGGATGGTCAGTGTGGGTCACATACAAGGAGAGATGGAAGAGTTGGTTTTGTTTTTGGGAAAGGCAGACTGCTTTCTACAACTAACTAATCAGAGAATACATAGAAGTATAAGAAAAGTGTAATTAGATTGCAGAATTATTTTTTTATTTACTTACTTAGTAAGTAGTAGTAGTAGTTAAATATTGAAACATGTTACCCATAGGAGTTGTGAAACCTCTGACCTTGGAGGTATTCAAGACTCGACACGGCCCTGAGCAACCTGATCTAAATAGACCTGTTTGAAGCTGGGAGGTTGGACTAGATGACCTCTGGAGGTCACTTCCAACCTAGATTATGATTCTGTAAGAAAAATCCCTTATGAAGTCTCCTGGGTTTACGGTGATACTGCTAAAACATATGAGTTTATTTATTCTGTTACATCAGTGAAAAGCTGCTGTACACAAGTCCTAATTTTAACAGATCACCTAGTATCTCCAAAGGAAGAACTGCAAAATATTTCAGCAGAAATCCCATATATTTTCCTTTTACTTGTAATAAATTTAAGTTAAATTGAGCTGTTGCAAAAGACTACAAAAGATAACAAAAATTTCATTCCTCACCTGAGTGTGAGGAAAGTTTGAGGAGGAAATTAAGTTACTTACCCTGTGCGTGACTGTCCAACTTTATCACAGATGTCTAAGATGAGGCCCCAGTCTTCTGCAGTGTTCATCTCACTGGTTGCTTTCTCTGACAAATAAAGTACAAGCAAATCAAAACACAAATTTAAACAAAAAAACCCTTATTGTCAACAAATATGTTGAAATATTACCTCTGTGTATACTGCTAAATATATGACAAATCCCTATGTTTAATAAAATCCATATATTAACACTATTGTACCTAATTCTTTTTAATTTTTGAATGTTCACTTGTGGCCATGAGTTTCAACTAACGAGCAAATATATTTTGGATTTGTTTTCGCACATAATAAACATGCACCCAGAATATGACACAAGTAGTTTAGCTACCAACGAATTTTTTCTTCAATTTGAAACTATAAAGTTTAACAGAAATAGATTTCATGTCAGGGAAAAAAAAAGAGAGAGACTCTCTCCCTATTTCTCCCTCAGAAAAGCTTAGTTACACCAAGGATAATAATATATAAATAAATAAAAATGTTATAAGGAAACTGAGGCTTACACTGCAGCTGAATAGAAGATTATCTAAATACTGGTAGATCAGATGAGGGCTGGAGAGCATAAAAGAATGCACAAGGATTTTCCATTAGTAACCAAACAGAAGGTGAATGGGCATAGAATAGTGCACAAACTTTTGCTTCCCATCCCTGCTTCATCTAAGGTTCACATCTTAATCTACAGAGCACAAAATATGCCTTCGGGGAATGTCTCAGACTACTTAACTTTTTAAAAGGAAGGAAAGATTCCCTATAAAAACTCATCTGTCAGGAACAAGACATTATTTACATTAGCACTTGCAAGCTTGCAAAGAAGAGAAAGACAAAGCAAAACAACCAATCTCTAAAAATTACAAGATATTATTCATCTCAAAGTTAATGGATTTCTTATGAATGAGTTCCTGTGTCTTACAAACTGAAGTATGTTATAGTTAATTAGTTTCTTAATTCTGAACGAAAACGCAGAAAAGTAAAACTTTATGGTTACGTGCTCTCAAAGTATTTCCGAGCAAAAATTAAACACTGACATATATGCAACTGAAATGATAACACATCAGTTGTGCTGCCTGATGCAAGGAAAACAGCAAAACAGTATAGTGAAATCCTAAACGGAAGTTAGTTACAATTCTGTATGTTCTCTCACATAAAGTAATAGAGCACTGCCTCTTCTCTCTAAACTCATCTAGAACATTAATTTGATTTCAAAAAGCATAGTCAACAGAAATATGAAAAATTGTAGGTAGACACCATACTCACATCTAACACAAAGACAGACCAGCTGATCAACCAATCACAATTTTTCTTTCAGTCTGCTATTGTTCCAAATCATGCTTATGATTAGTAAAGCTAACAATCGCAATCACTGAAATTCTTGATGTTCAGATAAGACACCTGAACTGAATGCCTGGCAGAGTCATCACAGGCCAAGGCAGTCTTCTGAAATCATAGTCTATGCACACAGCAACTGTACTGTACATAGTCTATGCACACAGCCAGCATCAACTCTGGAGCATCAGAACTGCTTTTATGAGACACAGAGCCTGAGCTGGCTAGAATGCACTCCCCACACTGAAAACAGCTGATAAGCACAGTCCAGAGACACACAAAACAGACCACATAGATGCAGTTTACTTTCAGGACTCAATTGATTCAGTTCGTTGCCAGTTCTACTGGAGCCGGACCAGCTCCAGTCAAAGTGTGTCTGCACAGTGCTCTCGACAGCCTTAAGTTCCCGCCAGGCTCAGAGCTCACACAGGGAGCCTCACAAAACCACACTGGTCACTTCTGCCTAATGCTGCACTTCAGTTAGCACATCCTTCAGCAGAGAGCTGGGCAATCCAGTGGAACCGAAACCTTTTCAATTATTCTACATAACAGACAGTTGTCTGTATTTTTGACAACAATTGATCTTTCTTTTCTCACAGTGTTATCAGAGAGAAATGTCATGGCAATTGGTTATGTCTTCTACAAACAAAGAAGTAAACTAATGCATGCTTAATGTTTTAAGATAACAGCAAACTGTGCCTTTTATGATAATTTAAATACTTTGGCTAAAACTACAAGTAAGATGGAGACAGATGAAATCCCTGACCCATATCAACCACACTGATTACAGCCTTATTTTAATTCTCAATAAGATTATTTTGCAAATTTATCCATTAATATAATTACAAGTTTTCTGCCATGGCTGCATTCCTTCTTGGCAGTTGAAGCCAGTTCTATATGAAAACTGCCATTTGCTTGCAATGCCTTCCCCATTGTTAGTCAGGGTATTTCCTCCACCAACAAACACTGGATAGTTTCTTACTAGATTTCAGCCTGAAACCCAGTTTCTTTGTATACATTCTGTCTTCTGTAATAACAATCATACATTAATTCCCTTAGATAATAAAATTTATGGTAAGACATGACCAAAAAAAAATTGCCTCGAATTTCAGTGAAATTCTGTCTCAAACAAGGGCAATTAAAAGCTAATGGCATACTGAGGATGTTATCAACACAGTGATGCTACAGTGATGCTGACTGTCCACAAAAAAGGCTACTATCTCTGTCAGAGCATTAGCAAGTGACTATTGCCTTTCACCACTCTGGGAACAGGAGCAACAAAGACGCTTTGACAAAATTCCTATGATGCATCAGTGTTTTGTAGACAAAAGTAGGAAAGCTACTGAAGTAAAACTACTTACACTATTATCACTTAAAAATCCATGAATACTCTCTCTTCTAACGTGAGGCACACAGTCACAGCCAAAAAAAAGTTTATGTGCATTCAGTATTTGCCTACCCTGTCTAACAGCTGGCACACTCCCAGCCTTCAGGTACAGCTGACATGTCACTGGCAGACTCTGCCTTAGTACTGAAATGGACTGTGATAGGGAAGGAAAAACAGACATTTGTTTTCAAAGTCTTAGGACAGGTTAGCACAGCACACAGAAGATAACTTAAGGAAGAAATGTTCTTCATCTTCCCTCTCTGATCAAAAATAACTCTACCATAACAATATTAACATTCAGTTCAGGCTCTATCCCTCCACCTCATCCTTGCTTCAAAATCTTACTCAACTTAGTGAATGCCAAGACAGGATCAGATAATGTTTCAAACTTTACAAAAACAACTTTAAAAGACAGTGCTAGTTCCTGAAATCAGCATTCTTCAAAACCTAATAATGCTATGTCAAATACAAAGGACAACAGGACTACGTGACACAGCTCTCTTCCATGAAGCTGTACCAATTCAAGGCATTGTTTTCTGAGCACAAGCAAGGCCTACAAATTAACATAGTAATTTTAACCAGTGCAAGACTGTAAAATCTTACATTGTGTCATAATAATTTGTAGTAATTAATAGTCATTATTAATACTAATTACTATTAAGACTAGTTAGTAAAACGGTAGTTTTACATTTTTTCAACTGACTTTTTTCCTTGGGTTTTTTTTGTTCATTACATGTCTTCATTTCTTACATTTATTTTTCTAGAAGTTATTTAATATTATTTTCTTACAAGCAATACCACAAAGACAGACAAAATGGTAAGCGCTATCATATCAGAGGAAAACAATACTTGGATCTACGGGTTCTTTGGTCAAACACAACAACAACAATCCTGAACAATATAAGAATACCTTTCTAAATAACTTCAACAATTCATTTAATTCCCAAAACAAAAGCAAGACACACAAAACCAACTGTATCACATTTTTCAGCCACTTTGCAAGGCACAGCGTGTGGGATCAGGAGGTCTCTCCATTTATACTTCTCTATTCAGAACACTAACCATACTGAGCCAGACCCATTCCATCTTGCCCAACATTCAGTCTCTAATACATATATTATACCTAAAGCAGATGCCTAGGAAAACAAAAAAAGAATAAGGTAAGCATTAGTTGTACTTCCCTACCAACACACCTTTCAGTGACCAACAATTTGCAGCTTCGTAACTCCTGAGTCAGAACTGGTGCTCCAACCACACAAACGCTGTCATAAATCACATACAGAACAAATAATTAAGGAAGTATTCTGAAGTAAAACATGTCTATGACAGAAATCTTGGCTGGTTTTGTATCTTTGAAGTTTTTCAATAAGAACATCATGTCCTTCAAATAAAATACCTAGATGCTGAAATCATTCTTCCAAACATATGGTTCTATCTTCTTTCTTTTTTTAAACTAAACCTCTGAATAAAATTTACACA